CTTCAGCTACCTTATATATGGCCCCATCTCGACTGAGTAAGACAGTGAAGTGGATTGTGGACCTTATTATGCTTGCTAGCTGGCTACTATATAACATTCTCTGGAGCTTCATTAGAAGAGATGTAGCAATAGTCCCCCAAGTCCAGATATGAATGTTTATATAATGTGTGAACTTTTGAGTATAGCAAGTCATAAAGTTGTGGGTGATCTTGTCGAAATGATGCTTTAGCTTGGAATATTTTACCTTCTTTTAGTGAGGTGGTTTTTTTTTTTTAAGTTGTGTGATTGAGCATAACATAATAGTCTCCAAGTTCAAATATGAATATTTGTATCTTACATGGATTTAAAATGTTGAAGAGATATTTTTGATACCTTAATGAGAAGCTATGCGAACAAGGAATTGTAAAGGAAATGTCTTATCATAAAGTACGAGGCTCTGAAAGATAGGCAACTTGATGAAGCTGGAAGGTAGCGGCCAAGTCATAGTGTGGAGGACGAAGCTTTGAAAGATAGACAACTTGATAAAGCTAGATTCCCTTTGAAATGCTTTGCACCTTTCCATCAAGGCGACATAAACTTTCTTTCATGATGGATGATTAATCCATGCCTCGTGGTTTCAAGGTGGGCTCTCTTTTAGATGCTTCGAACCTCTCATGCTGAGGTGACAAAAGACTTCATTTTATGGTGGATAATTAATCCATGCCAAGGGCTTTGCATGGTGGATGATTTATCCATGCAAGGAATAATTTGGTCTACTTTGTAGGTTTCAAAGTGGAGTCCTTTTGGGATACTTCGCACCTCTCCTGTTGAGGTGACAAGGGACTTCATTATATGGTGGATAGTGCATCCATGTAAGAGATAAAGTCGGCCTTATAGATTTCAAGGTAAGCTCCCTTTAGATGCTTTGCACCTCTCCTGTTGAAGAGATAAGAATGAGGTAACTATGTTTTAGCTAATAAAGAAGTTCATAGGCGAGGATGATGTTTTATATGGAGGAAGCATTAATACATAGGCAAGGATGAGGCCTTACATAGCGAATGTACTAACGTATATAGGTAAGGATGCAGCTTTGCATGGCAAAAACATTGATGCATAAGCAAGGATAGCGAAGGCGATGTTATAAAGGCAAGGATGAGACCTTGCATGACGAAGGCACCGATGTATAGATGAGGTCCCATTATGGGGATGAGGCTTTTCATGACGAAAGTGCTAATGCATAAGAACGCATTAGATCTTGCATGGTGGAAGCGCTAATGCATAAGCAAGGATGAGGCTTTGCTTGGTAGAAGTGCTGATGCATGGGTAAAGATAGGGATGTCAACGAGTCGAGCCAAGTCAGCTTGAGCTCGACTTGGGTAAAATGTCCTAATTTTTTTCGAGCCCGAGCTGAGCCGAGCAAAAGCTCGATCAAAAAAATTTATGCTCGATCCGAACTTTTGGCTAGGGCCTTTCCTAGCCAAGCCCAACAGGCTCTTTTTTTATTATAATATATAGGTAGTAGCCTGCTACCTTATTTTAAGACAGCAACATGCTGTCTTTAGTTTTTTTCTAAATATATACATAAAGGTCCACAAGCAGAGCTCACGAGCCTGGGAATCCAAATTGGGGCTCGGCTCGAGCCTCGAGTCGAGCTAGCTAGGACTTTTTTTGGGCCGAGTCGCCAAGCCCGATTGCCATCCCTAGGCAAGGATAAAGACACTTGAAAAATTTATAATTACAAAGTTCAAGTCTCATGTTCGAAGGAAGAAGCCTCTAAACGTATATGAAATATTTGTACATAGGCGAAGTCCCATGTTTTAGTGACGAGGCCTTCTTTCATCAAATATGACCCATATTTTAGGGGTTTCCCTTCTTTAGAGGTTGTTTAATTCATAACCACTTATTCAGAAGCCTCCCCTTCTTCAGGGGCTATTGTGGTCATGACATCTTCTTCAGAGGCTTTTTCTTTTTCAAGGGCTCCCATTATTTAGAGAATTCCACGATATCATTGTCTTTTCCTTGTTTAGGGGTCTTTCATTCATTAGGGGCATCGATCATTTCCATATCAGCCGTCACCACATTTTCCTAATATATGAGTATTTGGTGACTGTCTTCCTCTCTTCTAATGATTGAGCTAGTGGCCTCTTTAGATACGGCCAACTACTAAAGGCTCATCAACTTCATCAAACTCTTAAGAGCTGCATAGCCCATCCTCATTATCCTCATCAGCTTGTTAACAAGGTAGTTGGGCATCAAAGCTTGCTCTTTTGATGCCTCGGTTGACTTCCTTTCTTGCTTATTTCTAGGTTGGGGGTCATTATCTCATTACATTTGGTTATGGGGCCTGAATGTGGAAGGCTACCGTCGTGGCCTATTTCTAGGACGTTGATGCCTTCTCTATCAAAGACACTGGCAAACTTTTAGGTCTTCGCTCTTTTTTGTAAATCTAAGGCAAATTATCCTCTCTATTGAACGAATCATTCGAAGGTTAGGTAAATGCATAATTTGTATACACATAAACCCTTACATTCCTTTCAATAAGGTTGACAACCCTTTTGTGCCTTTCGGATTGACCCCTATCACTTTGTACTTCCTCATCTTCTTGCTGGTTTTCCCATTAAGCTTATTGTCCTTGGAAGAGACCTAGTTAAGTCAAGTGGTGAAGCATTTGAGTACCCACTTGTCCTTACATTTGTAAAAGGAGCTGTTACATTTTAGAGTTTTGCTTTATAATATTCCTCATGTTAGCGACCATTTCAATCACTTCCATTGCGGGCGAACTACGATCGTACTGCCTATGTGATGATGAGGTCGGCGATGGATGACATAGGCTCGAATGGCCTCTTCATCAGATGCCTCCTTAGCTCTCCTTGAATTTCTATCTTCTTTGATTGGACTTATGGTGAGTGGAGGCCTATTTTATTTAAGTCATCTTCTCTTTAAATCCTCATTTTTCAAGGAAGATTTAGAACACCTAATAGCAAAGAATACTCAAAATTTATAAGATCAAAACCTTTCCTCAAGAGAAAAGTTGAAGCACTTTCTAGCAAGTTTTTTCCATGGGGATTGCTCGTGGTTAATAGTATAATTTTTTACAGACGACATTAATATGTTGAACTCGATTTCTACACAGATGAAGTGACCAACAAATATCGGCTCTACTCATGTCCACATAGTACAGATGACGTTAATATGTTGAACTCGATTTCTACACAGATGACGTGACCAACAAATATCGACTCTACTCATGTCCACGTAGGTAAGATCCTACATAATTAGACAAATCGTTAGCCACTCGTAACCTTCTCCAGTGGTGGGGAGATGATCGTGTGCACTCCAACGATCAAGTCAGTCAACTTGTCTAATGTGTTTTTGGTTTGGGACGTGAGCTAAAAAAGCGCTTAGACACCAAGGGTTTATAGGATAGCAAAAAGGAGAGAGCAGTCTTACTTTAAATGTATAAAATTGCATTACCTTCAAATGACACTGAATTTAAGTTTTTATAGTAAAGGAGGAATTGTCATCGTTGGATGAAAAGACATGTGGCTAATCCTGATGGCTAAGGTATATCTTCCTAGTTGTCACTCCATCAATCATAGGTTGATTGACATTTAATGTTTTTGATCATCAACCTCCTCATGGCCTAGACCGACATGTAAGGAGTAGACTTCACAAGTTGGCTTAGTAGAATGGCTGCTGTAGAGAGGTCATGTCAAAAATTTTGTAAGAGAGATTTCTTGAAAGAGGTGAAGTGCGAGATGTCTTCACTAATGAAGAGGCTAATTGCCTCGAATCACTCCTACAGTTGGTTATAGCACATCGTCTCGACTATGGTGGGTTGGCCTCTACATGGCTCCTCAATCGAGGTGATGCATCATTTCAGCTAACTGCATATATGGCCTTAGCTCAACTAGGTAGGATAGTGATGTGAAGTGTGGGCATGTTTATGTTTATTAGCTAGTTGTCACGTCACATTCTCAGAGGTAACAATAACATCTTGGTTGGTTTTTTTTTTTTTTTAATTACAAAACAAGGGAATTATGGTCTTTTCAATAACAAATCAGACTTTTTATTTTTTTATTTTTTTATTTTTTTTAACAACCATTTATGTCATTAAGGATTCCAAAATGCATTATTTAGTGTTTAAAATTAAATAAATTGTATCAAACAAACGCGTCTACCATGCATAAGTTGTGGAGCTCAGGGTGTAAATTTCCCTTAAAAGTTGGTTCTTCACATGGTTACTATACTTCTGTTTCCTGATGATTACTGAACCATAAAAGTATTTCGTAGTCATTTTACTGTCAAAGTTGATTCAGAACTCGTTTTCTTATTCGTTTTCCATCCATAATCTATTATTCCCAATTATTTGAGAATTAACAATTTCATTCTTAACTTTATTACAATTGTTAAGCAAACATTCATAGAGAGAGAGAGAGTAGCAAACGACAAACAATGTTCAATTTTTTATTTTTATTTTATTTTATTATATTTTTTAACTAATTCATCACAAATGTAAATTACCTCAAGAAGAGAACAAACTTTGACAAAAATACACCCAGTGTTTGATATTCGAAAGGAAAAATATGACCAGCCGACATAGTACCCACTTTCAAGTTTTATGGAAATGTATTTTTATTTTTTTCCATTTCATACCTGTATGCCATAAAAAGACCAATGCCACTCATTTATAAAGTTACATAATACTTTACATAAAAATGAGGTGTCAAGAGGGATTTTTTTTATTATTATTATTAAGTTGAAGAAAAATTGCCCAAATTATATCTCATATATGTAAACAATTATATACATATAACAAATTGTTAAAAAAAAAAAATAATTAAATAAGAATATTTGTTCAAATCTTGCCCAGGTGATACTACTTTCAAAACGTATAAAATTTATGTTTATTTTTATAATGAAAAAAGAAATGGTATTTCAATATTTGTATTTTTTTGAATCTCAACCAACAATACCTACTCCCAAGTTGTATAGGAATTTTTCTTTATATTACACTCGTATGAAACAACAAAATAAAACTTCAATACTTAAAATATTCAGCCTCAAGTTACCAGTAACTGCTCTCAAGTCTCAAGAAGGATTTAAGGGGATAAAATATACATATATATTGAGCATGATCTATCTGAATAACAAGCTTGCTTCATGAAAAGTCTGAACTATTCAATTTCCTAACTGATAAACTGCACATCAAAGGAAATATCTGAACCATCCACCCATAGTTTGCTGTACAGAATGTACTTGATTCCCGAACGGCTGAACACAACATACAGCCATTACATCTACCAACGAGAACTGAGTTAAAACCGAGGGGAAACACATTTTATCAATAGCTATCCGTAATTGACTTATATGCACATCAGCCATTCATATGTAGCAGTTGGGTTCACCTTTATCCACAGAAGGCAGCATCCATTGCACGAACTATTGAAGCAGTATCGAACCGAAAGTTTCTAAAGCTCTTTCCAGGACCTTCAGAAGGATGCATGTCAGCCACTGGTTTACTTGGCTGGCTCTCTGTTGTTGAGCTGCTTCCGGTAGAGCTGTTCTTTGCCTTCCAAACGGTTATTCCTTCAAAATGCACGTACAAATTGTCAGTAAATCAAATCCTGGAAAAGCACTCTTTTAGATTCCAACAACAGAAAGATGATAAGGAAGCAATAAATTCATTTTACTCACTAAACTTAACTTTGAATCACTATATTCACCGATTTCGTTTAAGTCACTCTATCTAGGGAAATTTGCAGACGATGTCCCATACCTTTCAAAAATGCGCAGTGCAATTACAAACTGTTAAATTGTAGCAACTATGCTTCAAACCTTGCAATAAATGTGCGCCCGAAAGATCTCGGACGGTTTCTGTCCAAATGCCGTTAGTTGACCAAGAGTCAACTGTTTGACCTTAATTTGACCAATTGTAAAAAGGACAAAAATATCACTTAAACATTTTTTTCACTTAACACTCTACTGAGGATCTTACACAAAGTTAGATCTTATACTCCTTTTATAAGTGCCAATTCTTGAATTAGGTTGTTATATTTTCGCCAGAAAAATATGGAACCATGGTTTAAATACTTAAACTCACTGCAATCAGTCCTTTCATACTGATTTATAATATCCTTCCTCTAGAGGCTCCATCAGAGAATTTTGAACATGTAGAAGAAATTTGGATCTGGTTTCGTCGGGAGACCAGAGGTCTAAAACTAAGATTTTCGACCCAAACCCAAGGAGAAATCTTCAAGTTGGTTGTGGTCCAAGCTTGTCAGGGTGTCCCAGGGTTGAGGGAAGAGATTTAAATTGGGTTCACGAACCAAAATTCTGGCCCAGATCTGGTTTAGCCGTGAAACTAGATCAGATTGTGACCAGGTGGAGGAATGGATTGGGCCAAGATAGGGATGAAGGTGGTTGCGGTGGCAGGGGAATAGGTGGGTAGGATAGGTGGAAAAGATCTATACTTTCTTTTTTGTAATTTCTTTCCTTATCAATTATTAGTTGTTTTCTTATTTTAATTACATTAATTTAATAATGTTATGAGACAATAGTGTCCTTTTTAGAATTAGTCAAATTAAGCTCAAATGCTAGACTACGTTTGTCACTTGGACAAAAATCGCTCAGAGGTTCTTTTGGTGCATATTTATTGAGAGGTATGAACGAAGCTATAGGATTTAAAGGCTTAGGAGAGCACTATATGTTTTCAAAAGTTTGGGACCGATAGTGCAAATTTTCCCTCTATCCATTACTATTAGTTGATAAGAACTAATTGTTCTTCCTACGTGGTATCATGTGCCCCTTTAACATGCAAAGAAAGCTTGCCAAATGTGCAAAAACAAAGAAAGAAAAGAAGAAAGAAAAATGAACAATCTACCAGTCACCCCCAATCCCACCCCACCCCACCCCATCCTCCACTGTAGCAGACATCACCAAGCAAAATTTTAAGCTTCTGAAAACAGAATGATCTAAAATGTTGCTGCTCATTAGGGGTGAAATTTTCGGGAAAATCAAATTCTAGAAATGCTCCACCATCCATCATGGGCATGGAGGTGGAAATATATGGAGTCACCATGTTGCAAAGCTATTCTAATATCAATGAACATTACCTAGCCCAATAGACACAAGTGTGATTGTCAAACAGAAATCAAAGGTACGTTCATTTATCAATTACAATATGAACTTTGGTTATTATCATTTAGTTTTCATTGGCAAGACCTTTAATTGGCATTCATTGACAAGATCGGAAAAAGGAGATGAGTTTTAATCATTTTCCTTTTTATCAGTTCAAATATGTCTATGGGTGGAAAAAATGACCTGACCAATCCAGACCAAACCAAAACCAAACCTAGCAGTTCAGTTAGGTTCTACAAAAAAAAAATTAATGATTTCGGTTCTTAGAACAAAGAACAATTTGGTTTTAATTTTGGTTCTTGGTTATGGAACTAACAACTTGAACCGAGAACTGAACTCAAATTTTATTTTATATATATATAGCAAATCAATGAATCACACAAAAATCTAACTTTAAAAATTACAAGTGTGAAATGGACAAAAAGGTCATTTACCATTAAATTTTACCTTACCACCTGTCAAACTAAGCCTCCAAGCCTTAGACCTAAATTCTACATCATCTCTCTCCTTTCCAATTTTGGACACACGCTCATACTCCTACACCACAGCTACCATTACATATGCTGAATGCTTGATGTTTAGTTTTCTGATTTAGTTATGTTTTACTAACTTATAGATATGTAGATAGATTTTAATTTGCATTTATCATATGAAAATTTAAGTAATGGAACCAAGACCGAACGATTTAGCCCCCAATTTGGTTCCCATATCTTAAAAAAACTATTAGTATCATTTACTAAAAAAAAAACAAATAAATAAAACATTGGTTTATGGTTCCATTCAATTCACTTGGAACTGGAACCAAATGGAACTATTTCCACCCTGGATATGCCCTGTTGTGTTTCTACCTTCTCTTCGAGGTTAACAACATAAAAGATAGAGTTGATTAGAATATTTTCGAGAGTAAGAAACTCTCCTGTAGATTAGCGTAAAGCTAAGGTAGATTTCCAGGATATTCAATAGGACATGGTATAACACCCCGAAAAACCCTAATAGTCATTACTCTTGAAATTAGGACCTTAGGGTAAGAAAAGTAGGGGACCGAATCCATGACTTCCTATAGTTTAGGGACCATATTGAAAGATGGCCGCCCATATTTGAGAAACCCGAAGCTCAATTTTCGAAACTTGCAATTTTTAGGTTAATAATAAATTCCCATAAATGAGCCACTTTTTTCTCTCTAGTTATAAAAGAGACTTGCCATACACACGATTAATCAATTGACTATGGAATTTCAATTCTTCGATACAGACCCAAACCAAGCCGTGCCCAGGCCCAGTATGTTCAATTTCAAATTCTCATGTATGACCTACGTTACGAATTCCAAATTTTAAATACGAAATACAATTAATTGTGGCTCACTTATTGATTTTTATCTCATTGTTTATAATATTCCCATTTTTAAGTAATTAAGGTTCGAGATATTAAAGTTTGGAACCCAGCAGTGGTCTAACAAAGAAAACAATTTGCTGAATTTATTTTTATGTTTTAATAATTGTTTTCCTTTCCAATTAATGTAATGTTGGGATAATGTTATTCTTTATGAAAATTAAGGGGTCATTTGTTTTCCATTTTTGTAAAAATGAGAATGAAAAATATAGTTGTTATGGGCCCCATACAAGAAATATAAATTCAAATTTGGTGACTTGATATGATGGATAACGGTCAGATTTTTCATTTTAATGAGGAAAGAATGAGAAACAAACAGGGCTAAGTATTTATATCACGATACGTGATCAACGATTTTAAGGGTAAGATTTTGGTAGTTACACATTGTCCTGGAAGGTTGTGAGTGATCAGGTTGGCAGAGGGATTGCTTGCAGGATATTATTTTTTGTTTCTCTTATTTGCTCTTCTTTCTGCATTTCCCCCCTTTTTTGTCTTTTACACGTGTCAAGCCAACTTAGTGCATAATGTGACACGTCACATTCAGTTAGTTGTATCAGCAGATGGTAACGAAGTACTTTAACTGAAACGAAAAGAGAACTTCAGATAAAAAATTGAAAGAAAATTAAGTTTTAACAAATGAAATTTTGCTAGAAGTAGGATGATTTTCGTTTTTACCCCCAGTAGACTGCACAGTCCATGCAAGCACTAATTTCTGATGACAGGCTATATATTGATGCTCAATATGCTTGAGGGATCTCTGACAATTATATGTATGGATGGATGTTCAGCCAACTTTGTCTGAGGTATTTTCTAACATAAGTGTGCTTCCTATGCTACTTCAGCAAGGTATTTCCCCTAATTAACAAAATCTTAATTTGCGAAATATCCACTGTCGATTAGGTACAGATTTAAGTAGTCATTGGAAAGGAGGAACTTTAAACTGCACCAGTGATTTTATTAGATAGTAATTACATAATTTATATGATAGTAAATTTGGAAATTTATGAACACATGCTAGAAGTTAAGCACACTATCAGGAAAGGCACACACTCCAGGCACCAGCTTCTTACATATATCCAAGGTCAGGAAGAGGTGTCAAACGTCAGATACATTAAACTGAGAACAAATTACTTTCGGCCAGGTCACAAAGGGGACCAATCATCATGAAAATTCATCAGAATTTTTACCCTAAATAAGCTAATCTTTTAAATGGTGTAAACTTCTTGGTGCCAGGAAATTTATTTACAAGGATTTATTCATGCTGGCACAAAACAAGCAGAAGAATCCAACCAGAAGGAAAGTGATTGTGTGCTAGGAAATTTAGTTACAAGGATTTATTCATGCTGGCACAAAACAAGCGGAAGAATCCAACCAGCAGGAAAGTGATTGTGTGCATAATTTCGCATGCATTAGAATAATAATCACACCCATTAAAATGGCATAGCAACGCAACGCCTGGNGATTTTTTCCTTGATTTAGTTTCCTTTCTTTT